TTCATGTTGCTGCTGATCTGTTTCATGTTGCTGCTGATCTGTTTCATTGTTGATGTGTTCATGGTGCTCATCTGCTCACACAGACTCATGTTCGTGCTGCTGTTCGACGTAATGTTTTATGTTATCAGTGCTTAGTGTATATTTAGTTGATGTTTTTATTAGTGCATATCTTTGATCTTGTTACTGTTTTTCTTATACATTTTATTGTTGGATGTAACTGGGACCCTAAGAACATCATTTGGTTCCACCACATGTACCACATGAGGTGGAACCAAATTGTCTCAGTTACACTGAAAAATATAAATGATAAAAAGAAGTGGTACAGGATCTAAGATGTACACTAAACACTAATAATCTAATGTGATCGTCTTCTTTCACCACAGAGAAGTAACTCACATGAAGACTTGACAGCTGTTTGTACACCAGATGTTCTTCCTGACCAACCACAGCCTCTGTGGAGCACAGCTGTTATCTAGGAAGCCCGGGGAGCAGATGGTGGGGTCAGGGCCTTGCTCAAGGGCCCAGAGTGGGGCAAATGAGCGTGGAGGGTGTTTCACCTTTCCCACCCACATTTTGATGTTGGTGGTACCAGGAGTTGAACCAGCGACCTTCCGATCACAGGCCCACTTTCTCCAACCTCTGCGCCACCACTCCCAATCTAATTATGATTTAATTAATAATATTATCTAATATTATCCAATGACGTCATCAGTAACGTTTCAGTCCACGTCATGAAAAACAGAAATAAAGTTCTGAACCTTCAGGAGGATCGGAACCAATCAATCAATCAATCAATCAATCAATCAATCAATCAATCAATCAATCAATCAACCTTTATTTCTACAGGTAAATCCCATTGAGCCTCGAGGACTCATTTACAAGAGAGACCTGATTTAACAAAGAAAGATGACAACAACAACAATAAACAGTTATAAAAAGTCATACTGCAGTTTTTGTTTTTACAAATAGGATGGCTCAAAGGAAAAGGTAACAACAAAAAAACAACAACAAAAAAACAACAACAAAAAACAGCTGGATTCTAAGGTGAATGTAGAAAACTAAAAACAGGAACATGTCTGCGTTGGTCCCTGCCAGGAGTCCAGAATCTGAAAACCAGGATCTGTGGTCAGGCTCTCTGATCCGGTCCACGTCCCAGAACTTCTCGGTTCTGTTGAGTTCCAAGTTGAAGTTCCGCTTGCTGAGTGGGAACCAACGCGCGGTGGCTGATGGGAGCTCAGGTGTCAGGTCTGCGTTAGGCTCCTCCCCCTTCTCAGGTTTCTGCTCAGTCAACGAACCGAGCTGTGAACGGAACGGACTCCTTCATTCAGAAAAACGAGAACAGAACTTTCAGAACCTCCTGGGACCCGAACCTTCGGCCCTGTAGAAGAAGAACCAGAACCTCCTGAAAATGAGCGGAACCAACTGGAGCCGGGACGTTCCGGACCCGCTGAACTCTGGTCAGAGGTTCATTCCCAGCCAGGTGAGTTCGGAACCTGTTACCTGCTGTGACGTCACAGACAGTTTCAGGTGCGACGGGCGGAACCGGGTTTGTGTCGGACCCAGCTGGTTCCGATGAATCTGGTTTTATTTAGTCCAAAGGATCTTAACCAGCAGCTTCAGGAAGTTTCACAGGAACTTCTGATGGTTCTGGTTCTGGTCCTCTGATCTTGAGCAGCTTTAAAACCCTTCCATTAAAAACTGTCAGGACTAAAAACAGGACCGAGTCTAGCAGAACCTTCTAATTCTTTCAGACCCAAAGTTCTGATTAAAAAAGTTCTGTTGGGGTTTTGGATAAATAACAATTCTTTCAGTTGTTTTAATTGTTTTCGTTCTGCTGACAGTACAAACCAGACCTGGAGGTTCTGGTTTCTGGTCCACGTTCTGGATCTGTTCCCTTTTAAAACCCAACTCATGTTCGGTTCCGGATCTGTGAAGATGATCGACCCAAACAATGAAGTTCTGCAGCAACGATTTCCCTCCTGCAGAGACAGCTCTGATTTGGACCCATTGAGCGAGTTGGAATCTTTCTGACTCAAAGTGTGGTTCTGGTCCTCCAGAACCTAAATTGGTCACAGAGGTGTGGTTCTGTTGGACAGCTGTTGTTTAGCTGTTGTTTAGCTGTTGTTTAGCTGTTGTTCAGCTGTTGTTCAGCTGTTGTTCAGCTGCTGTTCAGCTGTTGTTCACCTGCTGTTCAGCTGCTGTTCACCTGTTGTTCAGCTGTTGTTCAGCTGTTGTTCGGCTGTTGTTCAGCTGTTGTTCAGCTGTTGTTCAGCTGTTGTTCAGCTGCTGTTCAGCTGTTGTTCAGCTGCTGTTCAGCTGTTGTTCAGCTGCTTTTCACCTGCTGTTCACCTGCTGTTCACCTGTTGTTCAGCTGCTTTTCACCTGCTGTTCACCTGCTGTTCACCTGCTGTTCAGCTGTTGTTCAGCTGTTGTTCAGCTGTTGTTTAGCTGCTGTTCAGCTGCTGTTCAGCTGTTGTTCAGCTGTTGTTCGGCTGTTGTTCAGCTGTTGTTCAGCTGCTGTTCACCTGTTGTTCAGCTGTTGTTCAGCTGTTGTTCAGCTGTTGTTCGGCTGTTGTTCAGCTGTTGTTCAGCTGCTGTTCACCTGTTGTTCAGCTGTTGTTCAGCTGTTGTTCAGCTGTTGTTCGGCTGTTGTTCAGCTGTTGTTCAGCTGCTGTTCAGCTGTTGTTCAGCTGCTTTTCACCTGCTGTTCACCTGCTGTTCACCTGCTGTTCACCTGTTGTTCAGCTGCTATTCAGCTGTTGTTCAGCTGCTTTTCACCAGCTGTTCACCTGCTGTTCACATGCTGTTCACCTGTTGTCCAGCTGTTGTTCAGCTGTTGTTCAGCTGCTGTTCACCTGCTGT